TGCATCTCGGCTTTGTCATTTTATACCGCTTATAAAATTTGCCTCTGTGTACTGTTTTTATAAATAAATCAAAAAATTGTTGTTGGGATGAAACTCAAAGCCAATTATGGTACCTAGACTGTATGAATTTAAGCGCAATACTAGACTGGTGGAATTAAAAAAATATAAAGTTGAGTTAGCTAATATCGTCCTTACTTCTACGCTAACAGTTTCTTTTCTTTTCAATCTCTCGTTTGTGAAACTTCCTTTCCGGCTCCACGCTTTCCATTCAACTTTAATCTGCAAAAATTTTAAATGCAATGTCAAACTATTTCTACTGTCCTCTTTATTGCTCTGTGACGAAAAGGAAAGAGAAAGAGAGAATGTTGACTTACGGACAGGTTGCTTAAGCCTTTGGATAATTAAAATACTCAAGTTTAAGCAAATGACCAACTGATGTTTATGGTCTTGAAAGAGGAGGATTGTGGAAAACGGTTATTCCTTATAAAAAATTGTCCTCCATATTTTTGACCTATTTTTTAAAAAATCAGCCGACGCGTGACTGGTTAATTGTCGGGCTGAAGGACTGTTACTTTTTTAAACTCCATTTAATAGACCTAGTTGGAGCAAAATTAAAGATGAATTAACTCCTTTTTGCAACCCTTACCAGGCTGTTGCTGATTGGGTTTTCCCCAACCTTTTACTTTGTCGAATTTTTTGTTTCGACAGCTGTTTTTTACAATACTGATTATTAATGATACTGGTTTTATATTTTTTATTCCTGTATCCCCTTAAAAAATTAAAAGAGTCGCTGTTTACTGGATGGCTTACGGTGATGACCACGAAAAAAATAATGGAAAAAAATTTTCACGGTTTTTTCGTTTTAATTTTCTTGGAATCTTCTAATTCTTCAAAATGATTAAAATTGAATTAATTACTAATTCTTTTAAAATTCATATCCGTAAAAAAATTCCAAATTGCATTGTTAAATATTTGCGCTTAATAATAAAGAAATGTTATTGCAATATCAGACATAAATATGAAAGCCATTTCCCATTGGGTTTATCTTCTAATTTCCTTTTCATTACGAGTGAGCAGGTAGAAATTTCTTGAAATGGCCCAATGTTCTGAAACAGTGTTGTGTCTTTCAAAAAAGTAAAAGATTTGATATGATCAAATAAAAAAGGCCATTAAAAAAGCCAGCCTAATATCTAAATAATTTCTTAAGAAATTTTATAATTTTAGGATTCTCAAAAATAATTTTTTCAAAATCATACCTGGATTTAAGATATTGATCATAAAACCACTGCTCTTGGAAAACATCCACAGAGCAGTTGTTCGAATAAAAAAGAAAGAAATTCTTTTTAATTATCATTTTGGAAATATGGAATAATTTAGTTTCAAACATTTTATTTGAGTGGCAAAATATTTAAAGAAAGGGAGGAATTTTCACCAAGCGATGTATTTCCTGCGAGCACATTGCATAGAGGTAAAAACAGAGTTTATTTAATTTTTTTATTCAAAAAATCTCTGTGGAAAAAAATGTAATGAAGCCATTTTTGATCTTTTCATATATTTGGTTGGGACCCAGAAAAAAAGAATACATTATATTGAAATCAAAGGAAATAAATAAATAAATAATAATAATAATAATAATAATTCCTATTCTGTTTGACCATAAAATTTAAAATAATATGATAATAAGCCTACTAATTGATACTGCTTGCCAACTAATTGATGAAAAATTGCGCAGCAACTTTTAATAATTTGTAAAACTATCGAAATTTATAAAAACCTGAAATCGAAATAATTTTAATAAATGTGGAAATTGAAAATAAGAATAATACCAGTCATAAAATTGCCTTTTCGAATGATAAAAAAGGAACAAAAAAAACATAGAAAATAAATTTTTTTCCCAATTTAAGATTTAAAAAAAATTTCTTGATAAGTAGACACGACACACTAAGAAGAACTTTATCCCACGTAACACTAGTGATGTTATAGGATCAATTTAAACAAAAAATGAAATGTACCAATTCTTTTATACCGTTCATGTCTCAACATAATTTCACCATAGCAGAAAACGAAATATAATAGCAATAATAATAATAATAATCATAATAATAGCAATAATAATAATAATAATCAGAATAATAATGATAATAATAATATTAAACATAATAATAGCAATAATAATAATAATCATAATACCCAATAATAATAATATAATAAACGATCATAATAATCATAATAATAGAAATAATAATTTTTAATAATAATAATAACCATAATAATAGCAAATAATAATCATTTAATAATAATAATAATCATCATCAAATGTGAAAATAATTATCAATCATAATAATCATAATAATAGCAATAATAATTTTAATAATAATAATAATAATATATATAATATAATAATAATAATAATCAAATAATAATATTATTAATCATCATCAAAAATAATAATTATCATAAAAATAATAATCATAATAATAATAATAATAATAGTAATCATAATAATAATAATTATCATAATAATAATAGTAATAATAATAATAATATAAATATAATAATAATAAAAAAAAAATATAACAAGACGTGCTTGATTTTGTTTTTTTTATTGTTAAATGCAATGAGTGCAAATAATTGAAACAAAATAGATCGGATCAGTAGAACTGTTAAATAAGGAAAGTGGAAGATTTAATAAAATGAGAATTTTCTCTATTTATTTATTTTTTTTTTAACATTATTTATTCATTCATTTACCCATTTGCTTATTTCTTCTTTATTTTTTTTCAGTTTTATCAAATATCGGAGCAGGTGTTACAGTTAATACTGAGAAAAGGATTTTTAAAAAAAATCATCTCCTCCGCCACCACTCACCTTCTCTAATACACACACACACACACACACACACACACATATATATATATATATATATATTTATATATATGTATGTATGTATGTATGTATGTATGCATGCGTGTATGTATTTATGTATGCGTGCGTCCGTGCACTAACGGGGATAGTTGGAAAAATATATAATTATTTTTTTTGGGAGCTTTTAAAAACGAATACAGGAAAAGAACCGAAAATTAAAAAGTGAACTGAAATGCCTCGTCGGGGGGAAAAACCCCGAATGAAACAAATATGCAAAAGGAAAAAATGAAAACAAAAAAAGTCAAAACTCGATACTATCAATAGATGTTTATATCTATTAGCATTGAGCAATTTTCTAAATATTTTAGTACAGTGCGCCTCACTTGTTTAAAGTCTTTCTTGACATTTTCGCAAATTGAAAATCGCGTTCATTCCACACAAGCGAATTTAGAAAGTTGTGGTAAAATAAAAAAAAAAATAAATAAATAAAAAAGAAGAAAAATAAATAAAAAAATGCACTAATAAAACAAGGAATACTATTCTGAAAACAGTAATGAAATTACTTCGTTTCGGAATTAAGCGAGAACTAATACAAGTGAATTCGCCTTTACCCTTTTCTCGCGAGATCAGTTTAAAATAGCATCAGGTTTTGAGGCGAACGAGATTGAACTGTTTTCAGTGAAATAGCCAAATTTGGTAAAAGGCTACGTGAATGTTGAGCAAGAGGAAGACGACGACGACGATGGGGAGATGGAAAAGAAAGGGGAAGGCGGAATGGGCGACGCTTCCCACCACCATCACGGCATTGATAAGCAGGATGAAGACTCTTCGATGCAGTTGCAACGTGGCAGAATATCCGTTGGCGGAAAAGGAGATTGACAATGAGAAAAGAACATGCAAAAGAAAAAAAAAAAAAAAAAAAAAAAACAAAAAACAACATGAACAACAACAAAATAAAAAAAAAAAGAACGTCTTTCTTTCTCACGATGCAGGCCGAAAACTCTTTGTACCTTATACTGAACAACTCTGGAGAATCGATCCGGTGTTTAGAGAGATTGATAAAAATGGTTTTTAATTATTTTTTTTTTCATTAAAAATTTTCTATGTATATAATTAATGTTGACAAATTGACTTTTTATTAATTTTGACAAGTTAAAAAAAAAATAAAATAAAAGATTTGTCTGAATTCGGACCAACCTTCTCACCTTTGTTAATGTTATCACAATGTTTCGGCTGTTGTGTTTTTCGGCCTTCCTCAGGTGTATATCGATCTGGGTAACCTACAGCGAATTCTGAATACAGAACTGAACCCTTTATTTAATCAACGGGGATAGACTGTTCTCGTGTCGCTGATTATGTCAAGTGATATCTCATCTAGTTCTTGTTCTTATTTAGTATGGTTCAATTATTGTTCGCCCGTTTCCACTGAGTCCACCAGGGATTGAACACACAACATTATGTCACCAATTTCACAAATCAATGCGTTTATGTTTTGACTGCATCTGCTGCCCATGTTTTGATTGGTGCTGCTGCTCTTGAAGTCTTGCTGCCATTTGCCTTTCTTTATTAACGTCTCCCATATTGTATTCGTTTCTATGCTAGGCCTACTAACGAGATCCTCATAGCCTAGCATATGCGCTGATTCTTTCACTCGTCTAACTCTCCAATGTTCATTCTTGTCCAGTATTTTCACTTCATTCCACAGGAGTTGGGGGGGGGCGACGTTTACCGTTTTCCTTCCATACCTAGATATGAGCAGTGGAACGAGAACAATCCAGCCCCATAGATTAAAGAAAGAGCTTAATTCAGAAATCCTTGTCGGATACACAAATCGATATACAGCAGAGGAAGGCCGAAAACGTTGTGATAACAGCAACAAAGATAAGAAGAATAGTTAGAATATAAATAGTGTAAAACAAAAGAAGGTTTATTTTATGTGTAATACAATTAAATGATTGATGTTTTTTTTATATTAGTATTGCATTGCAAACAAATACAGGAATTGACATATGTCAGAAATTAATGCAAGCGTTACTGATTCAATGGAAGTTTGAAAGAAGTTTAGTTAAGGTCTACCGAATCATTACAAGTCGGGTGTAATCTCTATGAGAGCTAAGCAAAGATATAGGTAACATATGCTCTGTTTCGTTATAAGACATCTATCTATCTATCTATCTATCTATCTATCTGTCTATCTATCTATCTATCTAATTCTGTTTATTATCTATCTATCTATCTATCTATCTATCTATCTATCTATCTATCTATCTCTTTCAGTTTGTTCCTTATCTATCTGTTTATCTCAGTATGTCAATTATCTATTTACCAATCTACCTATCATAGTAAGATTATTATCTATCTATCTATCTGTCTATCTTTTTCAGTTTGTTCATTATTTATCTGTTTATCTCAGTATGTCAATTATCTATTTACCAATCTACCGATCAAAATAAGGTTATTATCTATCTATCTATCTATCTATCTATCTATCTATCTATCTATCTATCTAATTCTGTTTATTATCTATCTATCTATCTATCTATCTATCTGTCTGTCTATCTAACAATCTCATTTCCCTTACATACGATCACCATTCCCGTCCGATCAAACAAACATCGAGCCTGGGCAGTATTTAGAGGGTGATCGCTTACAAATGCCAGTTGCACATGGTGGTGCCCGTGGTGTAATCGATAATGATTCAGAATTGTTAATCAGAGAGTCCAGTTCCAGGCTCAGGGTTTGGACTTTTGAAGATGATGACAATTTCGAGTGCCAAATATTGTGAAGTCTGCTACATGCATTCCAAGCCAGAGCTTTTCGTAAGTCTGGGATTCTATTATGTGATATCCAAGATATTTGAAGTCCTCAACTCTTTTGATGGATTTATTATTGAGTGTCTTTAAATAAGCCGCAAAGGGTTGATAAGCCGAAAAAAAAAAAACGAATCTGTCGATCATATTTCAGTGTATTTCTATGTATCTATCTATTTATCTATCTATTGCAGCGATATCAGCTGGCAGCTGATATCTTCTTAAGGCGACATATAGAAGATGTTACAGAAATCGTTTTAACGATCATCTGCTGAGCGAAGCGGACCTCACAAAAAACATGTCAAACGGATCTTACAAAGTAGGTCACTTGAATGGAGAGAACATGATGAATTCCTTTTTTAGACGAAAGCTGACAAGAAAAAGAACGCTATTTCGCTATACGATAATAGTCCCTAGCCGTCTACATGAAGAGAAGTTCGCCCGCTGAACTCGCCTTCATCCGCCGCGCTTGTTTACAGCAGAAGGTTACAACCATTATAAAAAAAATTATAGTTTCGTTTCAGAGTTTTATTTCGTGGGTAATAATCTGACCAAAAGTTATTTTCCATATATTAAGCCTTAGGCGTTCGACTGAAAGAACCTGCACCCTGAGAACGAACCTGGTATCTGGTCTAGTATGCTACGCTATCTATCTATCTATCTATCTATCTATTCTAATTCTGTTGCTATCTCATTTTCATTCTTTCTTTCTTCCTACCTATCTATCTATTCTGATTCTGTTACTATTTCATTCTGATTCTATCTATCTATCTATCCTGATTTTGTTGCTAACTCATTCAGATCCTATCTATCTATCTATCTATCTATCTATCTATCTATCTATCTATCTATCTATCTATCCTGATTTTGTTGCTAACTCATTCAGATCCTATCTATCTATCTATCTATCTATCTATCTATCTATCTATCTATCTATCTATCTATCTATCCTGATTTTGTTGCTAACTCATTCAGATCCTATCTATCTATCTATCTATCTATCTATCTATCTATACTGATTTTGTTGCTAACTCATTCAGATCCTATCTATCTATCTATCTATCTATCTATCTATCTATCTATCTATACCTGATTTTGTTGCTAACTCATTCAGATCCTATCTATCTATCTATCTATCTATCTATATATCTATCTATCTATCTATACTGATTTTGTTGCTAACTCATTCAGATCCTATCTATCTATCTATTTATCTATCTATCTATCTATACTGATTTTGTTGCTAACTAATTCAGATCCTATCTATCTATATATCTATATATCTATACTGATTTTGTTGCTAACTCATTCAGATCCTATCTATCTATCTATCTCTACTGATTTTGTTGCTAACTCATTCAGATCCTATCTATCTATCTATCTCTACTGATTTTGTTGCTAACTCATTCAGATCCCATTCATCTATCTATCTCTACTGATTTTGTTGCTAACTCATTCAGATCCTATCTATCTATCTATCTCTACTGATTTTGTTGCTAACTCATTCAGATCCTATCTATCTATCTATCTATCTATCTATCTATCTATACTGATTTTGTTGCTAACTCATTCAGATCCTATCTATCTATCTATCTCTACTGATTTTGTTGCTAACTCATTCAGATCCTATCTATCTATCTATCTCTACTGATTTTGTTGCTAACTCATTCAGATCCTATCTATCTATCTATTCTGTTTCTACCTCATTCTGATTCTTTCTTTCTTTCTTTCTATTCTGATTCTGTTGCTATCTCATTCTGATTCTATATATCTATCCATCTACCTATCTATTAATCTATGTATCTATTCTGATTCCGTTGCTATTTCATTCTGATTCTATCTATCTATCTATCTATCTATCTATCTATCTATCTATCTATCTATCATAGTTTATATAATTATTTTCTCAGACTCATAAGCAGTGAGGTAATCTTTATTCCCTTCCCAAACTAACGTATCATTTTCAGGCTGTGTCTCTTTAATCCTTAGGCGATTCTGGTTTGACACTTTACTCACTTTTATTGTCTGAGAATCACCAAAACTTATTGGGAAAGATATTAGACTGATTTCTCGTTGCCTTCTCCGCAAATTTTTTAATCCTGTTTCTGCAATTGCTGTCAACCAAGTCAAGGGAGTCCAACAGACTCTGCTATTTAATTCATAGCTGAGGATGGGGTCTGGAGAAGATAGTGAATTCACAGTCGCTTTCGAAGTCTTTTGGTGGTGGGGTAACTAAATTCAGCAGCCTTTTTTCCAACGGATGTAAACTCGCAAGCCTGTTATTTCTCTATCACTGCAAATGTCTTTCCCAAGGAATTTGTTGCATGCGAAGAAAACGGAGTAAGCAGAATGTGAACTTAGAACGTCGACTCCAATTTTTGCACCGATAACAGTTACACTACCTGCGCATTCATAATAATACTTAGTATCCACCCCCAAAAGAGCAAAACGATTAAAACGCAAGCTAGATATACTTTAACCAATTGTGTATAATCCGAGATCAGCTTCTGAATAATACTGGTAGACCTACCGTATTTGAATATTGCATCATCTTCGACATATGTTATAGGAAATAAAAATTGTATTTATTGTTTGTTTTTTTTGCACAAAGCTATCCCAGAATGGCGAGAAAAAAGAAAAAAAAATATCAAATAAGATTTAGAAATTCTTCTTTCGTTTTTGTTCCAGTCTGAAAATGTATGATTTTTAACCTCTTCAAAAAACCTTAGCCGTGTTTAGTACGATCCCCTGTTTTTTTTCGTAAAAATGAGTCTATCGGAACCGTTTCCAATCAAATCGAGGGTTTCAACTACAACTGAAATTATGGATGTCCTCATGTGCCACATTGTTTTAGATTTCCCTTTCAAGATCTTTGTATTTTGATAGTTTTTGAAGATCTTCCAAGATACATTATAATCTGCAGGGCCTGCCATGTCGATAAGAAAGCATATTCTGTTTTTGTGGTCTTTGATCACATTGCCTCGGCTATTATTATTATTATTATTATTATTATTATTAATATTATTAATACATGCATGGCTATAAAGTAGGGGATGCATAAGTGTTTTTCCAATTCTTTGTTTGTCCCATCTTTATCCAGTAATCCACTGCAACTCAGTTATGTGTTATGCGTAATACATGCTTAGGTGATCATGTATCTTTCGATACATGACATGACATAACTGATATGACTGACGAGGCCAATTTTTTTCCCGTAGTAGGTTACCATTTCTTTCTGCGGTAGACCAGTTACCATCCAAGGTTATAGAAACCGGTCTGTCCTCGCTAGGGAGAAGAAGAGGATTCATACCTTTCCCAAGAGTATTAGCACGTAAATGAATGTAATAGATTCGACTGCAATTAGAACTCGGCTCTCCGATTCCTCAGTCCGAGACGATTTCCATTACTCCACCGTGCCTGCAACTAGAACATTGATAAACCGAGATTTTTGCAGTTTCAGAACTTTTGACACTAGGAATGATCGGTCTGAATAGCAAAATCCCAAGTATTTTATTGTTTTCTTTTGCAGTTTTCAGAACTTTACGTTGGACTCTCTCAAAGCCCGGCACTAACACGATCTGTTGCAGTTGTTATACCCCGTTTGGTAAGACGTGCATGCGTTAAGAACCCAGTGGTTAACCTCTTCAGCAATGTGGACACTCGTAATAAATAAGGGAGAGCAAGCGTATTTTTAAGTTTTTTCCTTTCAGAGGAAGGATACAAATCTCTGTGCACCCAGAAAATGAAACCTGGCCTTAACACTGGCCTTAGAACTGACCTAAAGACTGGCCCTAAAACTGACCCCACTCCTTCAACACTTTACTCACTCATTCATCTTTTCGCCCATGAAATAAATCAGTCCAACTATTTACTTAGGGATTATATCTTAGAGGAATTAAATTTACTTTTTAAAGGGATTATCTTTTTTACATTTAGAGGATTATTTTTTCTTCTCTTACATGGATTGTCATTCAAAAGAATTATCATTTCTTTTTTGTACAGAGATTCTCTTTTTCAGTGATTATTAATTAAAGACATTATCTTTTCTTTTTTTTTACATTGGATTATTCTTTACATGGATTATCTTATGTTTTTCAATAGATATACATACATATACATAGATTTTCAATACCAGGATTATATTTTACAGGGATTATCATTTACAGGAATTATATTTCTTTTGTCTACAGAGATTGTTTTTACAGGGATTATCCTTTACAGGGATTATCCTTTTTACAGGGATATCATTACAGGAAGGATATATTACAGCGATTATCCAGCGATTATTATTTACAGGGATTACGTTTTCTTTTTCTTTACAGGGATTATCTTTTACAGGGGTTATTTATGATTTTTTGAAAAGCGATTATTTTTTACAGGAATTATCATTTAAATGGATTACTTTTTTTCTTTTTCTTACATGGTGACCACTTTTACCGGCCTAATCTTATCTTCTTTACGTGGATTATCTCATTCTGTTCATTATTTTGTTTGTTTTATCAATGTATTAAGAAATAGAAAAAATTATGAGAAACAAAGAAAAGGGTGCTGAAATATTGTTTAATATCTGCCCTTCTGTAGGGCAGTGAATGCTGAAAAATCTCCTCACCGATGCAGAAGAGACTGGAAGCAATAGAAATGTGGTTCTACAGAAGAATGCTGAGGATATCATAGATCGTAGATCTGAGCAACAGAAATGTAGTTCTACTGCTGATGATACCAAGGACTGAATATATGAACAGCAGGGAAGTTTTAGAGAAAATGGAAACAAAAGGGACACTTTTTATTTAACATAGGAAAGTTCTAGGGTACATAATGAAGAAAGAGGGCTTAGAAAATTTGACACACAAAGACATATTGAAGCCGAGAAGGA